CAGGAGATGAAATGCTTTATCAACATAGAGTTTGCCTAGTGTCATTTCTGGACCAAAAAAAGAGAAAAATGTACATATTACAAGAGTTAAATCATTTGCTTTTGTTTTACTAAATGTCACTTGAATAATCAGAGTTTATTTCCAAAAAATAGAAAACACATCACTATTTATTTTGTAATAAATATTTTAGAAAATCAATTACCATGTGCCTAGCTGCTATTAATTAAAGGTCATTGTCATATATCAGGTATAGACTATTGATTAATGATCACCTATTTTCCTTCTAGTAAAACGTATTCCAGTTGAGAGTTTGTAAGCTCTATCCTATACAGTATTTTCACATTATTTTTCATTTTTGCATCTGCAAATCAAAGCAATACAAATCGATATTCCACATAGTGTCAAATGATAGCTTGAGAGTTGCTGAACTGTATCACAGCAGTTATACAACTACTAGCATTTTGAAAATGGTCAATAAAAAATTCCCACAAGAATAGATTTTGTTCAGAATCTGTAAAGTGGTCTTAAATTGCAGGAAGGCAGATTCTGGCTGGATGTTAGAAAATCATCCTGAAGGCAAGAACAGTTATAGAAATTAATTATCCAAAGAGTAAATGGTCTCTTTCTCTCTCCTTCATTGGATGGCTTCAGGAAGAGGCTGGATGCTTGTCTCGGAAGCTTTAATTTGGATTTTTACAGTCAAGATTCCTATATTAAACTGCTTATTTGAATGATAGACTAGATTTGAAAGAGGTGCTTGGAACTCATAGGAGCAATAATAGACCACTTGTTAACAACCTATTAAAGCAACCTTGTCTTCTTCCAGGATTGTACCGATTCTGTAAGGTAGCTTCCACTGCAGACCTATTTTCTTTAAAACAATGCACAGTAGTCTTATTTAGCTTCATTTCTGAAATGCAATTATGCAAATTTAAGTAGAACAGCTGCTTAGATTTGTTGGATGTGGACAGAGTATAGATCCAGTATATAAAAATATATGAATAGTGCAGTAAAAGTTAAGTTGTGAGTGCCTGCACCAGTATTTCTTTCTGCCCCCCCCCAATCTAATTTAACTTCCTATCTGTTTTGGCAAATATGGGACCCCTGCCCCTAAATCGAATTAAAAATAGCCCTTGGAGATTATTTTAATAAAATAAGTGGCCTACGGGGAAAGAGATGAGTCACCTCCTATGCTTGTTAACTGCATTTTAATTAAAAATAACTCATAACAGAAATGAACACTAAATACAGGTCTCCTATGTCAGTGATCTCCAACCTTAGCAACTTTAAGACCTGTGGACTTCAACACCCAGCAAAACTGGCTGAGGAACTCTGGGAGTTGAAGTTCACAAGTCTTAAAGTTGCCAAGGTTGGAGACCACTGTCTTATGTCATACTTAGTTTGGGCCAACTTGGAAAACATAGTTTTGGCATAATAAGCTTGTTACTTAACTGACAGTACTTCCAGATAGTACTTCCAGCCATTCTATCGCCTAAGTCTTGTATTTTTAGGATTGAAATTAAGCACGTCTTGAGTGGCCCATTCGCACAAGATGCTATAGGCACTTCTATTCTGTAAGTCTCCAATGCTCATCAAAAACCAGAAGCCAATCAGAATGTGATTTCTGGCCAATCAGGAACCAGCTGTTAATGTCTTGTTTTTCTTCTCATCTTCTGCAATAAGGCAAATATTTCCCCACTCTGGAAAGGAATAAAAGGAAATAGAATAAAAGTGCTTCACCTGCTCACCATAGGTGCATACTACTGGTATGACCAGACTATACCCAACCTGTCCCTCTACTGCCAGAAGTCTGGAACTGGGGCTGGTTTCTGTATTTCCTCCAGGTTCACATGTACACACTTTGTAAATTTTCATAATAAAACATAGGCGCTCTTACACTGCAGATAAGAAGACCCCAATTCCATCCTACAATTGCAACAAAGAAATGGCACTAAACATAGTGAAGCAATTAAACTTAGTGGAGAAGACAGAGGGAAAATAGTAATTCATTTCCAAAAGGCTTATCCATGCCACCTGAATACTTATGAACCCACCTGAAAATGCTACTATAGACACCTATTAATGTAATTGCATGTTGATATGTATACACTTTTTAAGTCTGTAAGAATTCTCTGAAATGGCCAAATAAATCAAAATTAAAATTTGATAGGACCTCACTTTGTTGCTTCTTAAAAACTGTTTCCTGTTTTCTGTAATTCTGATACATATAAGTCTCTCACTATAAACATGCATGACATGTATGGAACCATTAACCCATTCCTGTATGGAAATGCAGTTAATGCATATAATTTAACATACCTTGCAAATTTTATTAATCTTAATACCGAAATAGCAAAATTCAAACATATCATGTAACTGGTCCTGTGATTTCTCTTGTAACATTAACTGAATATCTTCACGGCTTCATTTTTTTCTTCCATTTAATTGTGTCAGATTCTCTGAAATTATTTGGACAACACAATACTATAACAATGGAATTTTATTTATGTATTATGCTTCTCATTTACTAGGCAATACTTTAATGACACGGCATAAAAGAAACACACTGGGATTGAAATTAGATTGGGTCAAGATACCTGTCTAGCTTCTGTGGGAAACAAAATACTCAGTAGCATAATTTAGCATATGAAATGGTTCAGATTTGAGGCCATCATTCTTTGAAAGAAAAGATCACATATCTTTTTAAAGGACTATAGAGATGCATTTAAAAGTTGATTATTATCAGTATTACATCTAGATATCTAAATATTTTAACCAATAGTTTCTATATTGTTAAAAACCACACCTCATAATACTAAAAATCTGTAACACCATTATACCTAAGGATTAAGTAACATAGAACTTCATTTCCACACGAAAGTCTAACTGGCACAACTGATGCTGTAATTTTATGGACTCCTTTTCAGAAGCACATCCTATCACACTTGCTGGCATTTGCTTTGTGTACTTGGGCATCAGATTGGGATGTGGCCTACTGCCAGACTATTCTGCTGCAAATCCTTTTGGTGGTGCTGTAGCTGTTCTTGAACATGGGCCATCGAAATATAGAAGGAAGATGGAGAGTTGCTGCACTAATAGCAGAAGCATAGTGAATATTCATATGAATAGTCTTGGAGGTATCTGGATGGGGGTGGATAGGCATTAAATGCTGCCTGATCTTCCCCTTAAATTCACCTGCAGTTTTTTCCTCCCTTCAAGAAGAGAGCAAGAACCTATTTTAAAGGCTAAAACTAGACTATCCCCCACCCTCTGATTAGCTACTTTAATAAGGAGTGCAGCAGGACAAAACAGACTGGCTTGTTATCTCCAACTCCAGCCCCTCAAACACCAACACTTCTCTCTATAGTAGACGCAATAAGCTTCAGAATTGGAAGGAATGTCCTTACCATCAAGTTCAGTTAGGAAGGCAAAATCTGTATCACTCCAAAGCCTTACCGCACAGGTACATATAATGCATATCGTAGCAGTGTCCTTGTTATTAAATGCAGTTAACGCGAAAGGTCCCCCCCCTCTAGCCCTGTGAAAAAGAACTTCCTTCAATCAAATTCTGAACTAAGAGAACAGCGAGAAAGGGCTGATTTTCGGCAAAACGGGATTTAGCGCTTTTTGCTCCTCTCTCGGCAAAAGGACTCCGGTCAGACTCCAGCGCACAGCTTCTCTTCTTTAAAAAATAAATAAATAAAAAGGAACCGCAAAAGCCAGAAGAGAAAGTTCTATCAACTGCGTGCCTTCTGCACTACGAAGTGGCTCGGGAAGAGCTGGCGGCTGCCTGTATGTGAAAGAGCCGCTAGACGCGCCATAGGTTAGAGCTTTGGGGAAAAGGGGCGCGCAGGTCCAAATGGAAACTGGGTCTTCCGCAACCGATGCCTTAAATCGATGCAAGGGACACGCCGGAGGCACTCACCCCTGAGGATCCCCGGTGCATCCATCTTCTTTGAAGGGCGAGGGAGGAGAGTTGGGAGATTTCCCCCTCGAGCCAGAACGTCAGCGGTGGGGATCCTAAAAGCGGCGAGAATGAACCACAAGAGTGGCAGGCAATTCCCAAAATCTCTCCCCTTCCCTCGTCTCTCTCCTCCTCCTCCACCCCCCCCTCCCCAGTCGAAAGAAAGCAGAGCACGCCGCGCCGCCGCCGCCGCCGCTGCCAATGCGCCAGGCTGGCGGCGCAGGAGGAGATGACGCAAAGGGCCGTGCGCTCCCCACCAAAAAAGTGCTTCTCCCGGACGAACATGGCGGCAACTTAGCGCAGGGCCCCAAGATGAGGGTGGCCCCCGGGCGGCAGGAGGCAACCAAATCCGTGCCGCGAGCCGGGAGGGATCGTGCCCGGCGGGAGCTTCAGCGAGAGCCACAGCAACCGCAGCGCAGTGGCACCAACGCTCCTAGCAGCCGCTGCAGCGGCAGCAGCAACAGCAGCGAGAGCAGAGCCAGCCGCAGCGAGAGCCACAGCAGCAGAAGCCGCCACCTCCAAAGCGGCAGGAACTGCAGCAGCCTCAGCCCCGGCGCTCCGGCATCTCCCCAGCAGCCCCGGCAACCTGTCGAGCCGCAGCCAGCCCAGCGCCGGGAGCTCGTCTGGGGCTAGCGGGGGCACAGTCCGCGGGCTTCCCCGGGTGGCTCTCCAGGGCGCCGGGGTGGGGGGTGGGGGCGGTGGAGCGCGGCATGAGGCGACGGGCGGGAAGCGGGGGACTGGCGGGGTTGGCGCCAAAATGGGGGCCTGTGCTCTGACCATGCCCGGGTGACAGGAAAGGCGAGGGAGGCAGGGGACGGCTACCGGCCCGGCCCAGCCCAGCGCGCAGGAGCACCAGCACCATCGCCACCATTCGCACCAACAACGCCGCCGCGGCCATCCCCACCCCCGTCGTCACCCTTCGCTGAGGGGGGAGCCTGGCGCCCCGCCGCCCAGTGTCCATGCCCGTGGGGCCGTCGAGCCCGGCTGCGGAGCCCCCGTCGCCGTGGAGCCGGCCGGGGCTGCGCGCTCCCGAAATATGAGCACGGGAGGATCCGGCTCGGGCGTGTGCTTCGGCCCGCGGGACACCGACAAGCCCTTCGCCGACTCGGAGCGGGCACAGAAATGGCGCCTGTCGTTGGCCTCCCTGCTCTTCTTCACCGTCCTGCTCTCCGACCACCTGTGGCTCTGCGTTGAGGCCAGGCAAGTCGCCGCCGGGCGCCATCGGGACCGGGAGCGCCGCGCGGAGCCGGGCATGGAGCACGACGTAGGGGGGACGGCCCCCAGCAGCAGCCCCGCGGCACCGGCCGCCGGCCAGTGCTTCAGCTTGCTGGGCGACGCCGAGGCTGCCTGTCGCCGTTTGCAGCCGGGGGGTTCGGCCCAGGCGGAGCTCTACCTTCCCTTTTGTAATTCCTATACGCTGCGCGAGCTCTTCGCCGGGCTTTCTCGGCCGGACACGCTGAACTGCACTGTGGACCGCGGCGACGACGACGACGGGGGCGCTGGGGAAGGGGATCGGCGCAGCGGGGAGGAGGAGGATTGGCTTCGCTCCTGCCGCCGCTGCGTCCTGGTTTACCAGAGGTACGATCGGCAAGCTCAGGACCGCTACCGGGAGTTCGAGCTCGTGCTCCAGAAATACCTGCAGGCGGAGGAGTACTCGGTGAAATCCGGTCCGGAGGATTGCAAGGTAGGAGCCTCGCTTGCTTTCCGGCAGCGGCTATGTTTGTTTTACCCTTGGGCTCTGTGGCTACCGTGCTGGCCTGCGATCTTCGAGGAAGCGCGTGGTCGAGGCGTGTAAGGGGGGGAGGGCGGCAGCGGGCGGGAGGGCCGTCCTCGGTCTCTTGGGAGGGCAGAGGTAGGTTCCTTCCGAGAACCGCGAGGCACTGTTGATTCCCCTGGCCCGTTTTGCCTGGGGCTGGAATGCGGCTTGGCAGGGGAAAAGCGGCGGCGTGCCAGCCAGCGAGCAGGATCCAAGGTGAAGAATGTGCATGGGCTGAAGCTGGGGGAAGGGGGGGAGTTGGGTTGAAGCATAGTTGGGAAGGGGTTTTCCCACGTCGTCCTTACCTGATTTGCGATTTCGGTTGTTTCCCGGAGTTGGCAAGGAAGAGGCGTCATTCAGAGGTCAGCGAGCCAGAGTGGTTGCTTTTTGCAGAAGTTCATTTTGAAGTTGCTGTGTTTGTAGGGTTGAATAGATGACGGAGACTGGATATATGCGTTCTTTGGGGTTTTGTGTAAGTGTATTAAGAGCAGTTCAAAATGCCCTGTGCCACCTAAGATAACGTGCTTGGTGTTACTCTTTTCTAATACCTCCGGATTGTCGAGAATAAAAGGCAGAGAGATAATAGTACTTACAGCGTCTCTCTGAAGGACGGTCTTGTCCAAATTCATTGTGGAAGCTTTGCTTGCGGGGCTTTAAAGTGCTTCCTAGACCTTTGGGAATCAAAGCTCAGTGATTATCTGAGGAGCACTAGAGAGGAATGGTAATTGAGTCATAGAGCAAAGGAAGTAGTCCCAGGTGGGCTTTCTTTTTCTTGGCACATGTGTATGCTTCAAATCTTCTCCATCAACTCTCTGGAGTTAAGATTAGCTCCAGTTTTATTAATTGCTAATACATTCTACAGTGATTCTGGGTAGACAGCACTGATGATAGAATTGTGGTGTCTGCTTTGTCGTTATGTATGCTTGATTATTTTCTCATTCTACTCAAGACACAATTGCATGTGTAGCAAAAAAAAATGTTGTGTAGTGACTGTTGTTGTAGTGAATCTCTTTTACAGTTGTGGTCCCAGGTGGATTCATATGGAAATAATTTTCTCTAAAGCTAATGTTATGGTTTTGTTTTAAACAAATAAAGCTGACTAATGTGATCACTTTCTATCGGAATTGTGTTATGTTTTAAAATACCAAGACCAGCAATATTCTTTTGAAAGAGAAAAATCTGGATGGTGGCTACCTTAAGACACCTAAAGCATTTTGTTTTAGGTATTGTAACAAAAAATATCCAAAGCCACTTTCAGGTCGAAGCAGTTTACTTTCTCTCTGAAGTAGTTTAGAAAATATTTATTGGTCAAGAAGAGTCTTCTGTTGTTGTTGTTTTAAGCAACCTATTTTGAAAGTTACATTGAGGATGTTATCTTCAGAAATAAACTTGAGATAGCCAGACTTTGGGGATGTAATAATCAGTTCAGCTTTATACATGTCTTGGAAGCTTCTTCTTGTGATCAACATAAGCGCTGCTTCCTATTTGAGGAAAAGGAGGTGCTGAAGTTGTATGTAAACTGAATCGGATACATAGAATCCAGTCCTGTGTGATGGAAAGCAGGCCCACAGCGCTGCGGAGGCGCGATGCTGTCCATGGTGCTGAAAGAAATTAGTGATATCCTTGCTGCTTGGTGACAGTACTGTTTGTGAAATCAAAGGTATTTTCCAAGTGTCTTAAGTCACTCAACATCACCTTTTTGATCACTGAATATGATAAGATGAGTTATAACTGAGTTTTCTTTAGCACATTGGAAGGTAGAAGCCTCAGTAACTCAACTGTCAAATTTATAAGTTTATAACTATATTTTGATGTTTGGACCATTTGTACTAAGACTCTTTAACTCTTACATTAAAACTTCCATCTAAAGTTTTAATTAATCTGCAGATATAAAATCTCTGAGGTGCCAATATATTTTATTTGACCTTACTGCTAAAGTTAAGTTTTGTTTCGGTTCTGAATGTTTAAGATATAGAATTATAAATTGAAAAAGCACCTTTGGAACAAATACAGATACTGTTTATTTTATATCTTATCTAGTTGTTGTATGTGCTGCTAGTTACCTTTTACTGTGCTTTAAAACAGATATGTTCTAAACAGCCTCAGGAAAGCTATTGAGACAACTGTTTCATAACAGACATGAAAGCATTTATTTCAGTTTATAATTTACATTCAGTAACTAAAGCAATGATACTTAATATGCACATGATCTCCTATAGCATTTGTTTTTTCTGTCCTTACCTCTTTCTTGTACAAGTAGCCTCAAAGAACAAATGGCTGGCACAGCCAATGTTCTCTCTTATCATACTCCTACAATTGTATTGTTTATTGTAATTGTCAAAAGCTACTAGTTTGGCACTATTCTGGTATTATTATACTGTAGCATAAAATATCTATTTTTAAGAAATGTAATGAAACTAAAAAACATTCCATTTTTTCTTTTGGTCACCATCCCATGTATATCTTTAAAGTGCATCATACTAAAGTAATACTTGCAGTTCTGTATCACAGTGAGAACAATCTGAGCTTTAACCATATCCACTGCAGCCTTAGTCATCCACAAATAAGGTTTATTTAGGTTTATGAATGAATATTAACTATAGGCAATCCAAAGCTTCTTGGCATTAGCTGATATGTTAGCTTGAACTGATGGTGTTAAATGAAAATAATAATAAAAAACAATATAAAGTTTTACATTTGGACTGAATTCAAAATTATTCCATAGGAATAATATTAGTGTATTTACAGTTCTTTATCCAATTGCATTTGTCATTTTTATGAGTCTGGTTGGATCTCACGATAACTTGCATGCCGATTAAAAAGCATGTTTGTTGATGCTATTTTTGGCTACTTTTGAACATTTGTAATTGAAGTTGGACAATTTAATCTCATGCCCTCATGAATTTAGTAAAGTTGAAGCAGCATAACAATTACTTCACAAATTTAATGATAGTGAAATGTTATTTAATAGAATGCCAGTGTCTCTTACATCAAGATGTCATTAGCACTGCTGAGGAAATATATTGCAATTTATGTTAGTATATTTTTCCATGTTGTGCATAAACAAATGACATTTTTTCTTATTTAACAAAACATAGCTATCTCTTCAGAATGTTGTATATACATACTTTATATTGCAAAATAAGCAATATGAGCTAGGGAAATAATGTTAATTTAATTGAGATCTTTGCTCCAGTTGCTACATTTAAACCTGTAGTCGGATAACATTGTAGATGGGAATTAAACATGCTTCTGAAAGTTGCTAAATGAGAGGATATTAATAAAATGCATGCAAGCATGTCTCTATTAAAATATTTTACTGAGGCTTAATATTTGAATGAGGTTGAATTTTTTTAAAAAAATATGCACAGCATGTCTACTTTCCAGAGGGTCTCGTGGTAGTTATGATACATAAAATAAGTAAGCTAAACAGTACAACAAAGTGCAATAATTGTTTTTTCTTATTGAAGTGGTATTTGATTGAGCACTGGTAGAGAAGTGCATGAAGGACAAAAGGTGGAGCTTTGGGATACTAAGTCCTGAATAACCAAAAAGGCAGATATTTTCAGCACCACTCTGACTTCCAGTCAAAAAGCTACCCATACTTGGGAACTGTCATTCACAATTCCTCCTTCCTAAATTATTCTGCTTAATTTAATGGGTTTCATCCAGATGTTTGCAGATAGTTCTAGTTTTTCATTTTCAAGACATAACTAATGGTTATTTTCAGAAATGAAGATCTGCTATTTTATGTTGTTGTATTATGCCATGTACTGTGCATTGAATTTAGGAGTCTTACGTATCTTTGATTTTAGAATGTTGAAATTGCTAGTTAAAGGACTGGACTGAAATTAGTTCCAGTTGGAGAATTCCGAAAACAGCTTCAAGTTTGAGGGCCTGGGCCTGCCAGAAGGACAGTTTTACATAATGATTTGACATTTGATACTCAAGGTTACTACTTTCCTTTTGGGCAATTAATCATTGATGAAAACTGTTTCTATTTTGGATAGGAATTTGGGAGAACAATATATGATCTGTCTCAGAGAAATGAAGAAGACTTCCAATAAAATAGAATTGACTTAAAATACTTGGAAATTACCTGCTTGTATATCTGAGTGGAGGCCCTGTGCATTTTCAGTCAGATACTGCCTTTAAGCCAAAGTTGTATACTGTTTGTCAGCTTAATAGCCTGTTTTCACTTCAAAGCATTCAGATGTTTTTACTGTACAATACTATAAGTTTATGTGTACAAAACAGTGCAATGTTACTTAGACCTGTTCTTACATTACTGTCTCAGTTAACCATTATTTTGCATTGAATTGAAATATAATGGGAAAACTTCCATCAGCAAAATTATAATACTTAACAATTGGAGACATCTTACTGTATACAATAAAACTAACCAGTTGTTAAGCATTCTCATTTTAAATAGTTAGATACCTAATCTCTTTGATACCATCCATCTACCTCATCCATTGTCTTCCCCTTTTATCCCCTTCATTTCATGAGTAGTTGTTTTATCTGTCTTATGATTCACTATATCAAGTCCTCTCAATATATACATTTTTCTCAGTGATTTTTGGTTGCATAAGACAATACTTTTTTTTCTTTCAAGTTTTTTTTGTACTCTTGATACTCTTAAATAACTCCAGATTCATATTCAGAAGTTTGCATCTGCTTTCTCTTTCTCAATATCCAGTTTATACTGACGTAACTTACCTTCTTTGAGTCTTCTAATATTTTTGGTCATATAAATCTCCTTATCTTTCATGGTCTTGCATATTTTTATCATTGCCATTTCCCCTAGAATTAACATTCCTCTTTGCTTCGTCAAGCACATGGCTGTCAAACTGCGGCCCGTGGGCCGAATGTGTCACAGCCATGCCCATGTCCATTTAGTGAAGGGGAAAAAAGTTCCAATATGTTAT